CCCCGGCGGCCAGCACTTCTTGTACGAGGTGCCGCCCTGGGTCATGTGCCGCTTCTACAAAGTGATGGACGCCCTGGAGCCCGCCGACTGGTGCCAGTTCGGTGGGTGGCGGCGGGCCAGCGAGGGCGGGACGGGGGGCGCTCGGGCCCCGGGCCCCCAGGCCTGACGCCCCCCACCCCGCAGCCGCCCTGATCGTGCGCGACCAGACCGAGCTGCGGCTGTGTGAGCGCTCCGAGCAGCGCACGGCCAGCGTCCTGTGGCCCTGGATCAACCGCAACGCCCGCGTGGCCGACCTCGTGCGCATCCTCACGCACCTGCAGTTGCTCCGGGCTCGGGACATCATCACGGCCTGTGAGCACGCAGCACCGGGACCCCCGGGCTGAGGGCCGCCCTGGGCCTCCTCCCCCCGCCTGGGCCTAACCGTCCTTTCCTTCCTTGGCGTCCCAGGGCACCCTCCCGCCCCCCACCTGCCCCCCAGCACCACCGCCCTGAAGCCCAGCAGCATCGCTGCACCCTCTGAGGCTGAGGCTCCCAGCCCCCGGAAGTTGCAGTCGTCAGCCTCCACCCTCCCCTCCCCAGGTAAGAGGGCCCGGGTGTTGGGCTTGATGGACCTGAGGAAATGGCCACCTTGACCATGGCCACGGCTGAACACTCTGCCACCGGTCTCTGCCTGCCTCTTACTGGTGTCTTTATGAAGCTTTTCCAGGCTCCCAGACCCATTCTGGGTCTGAATTTGGCCCTGTCCCAAGCCCTGCTGCCCTCCGGCCACCACCACCATCTCCAGCCCCTTCCTCTACCAAGGTAGGTGGGTCCTGCCCCTGGGAAAGGTTCCAGAGAAGGAGCAAGAAACCTAGCCTTTGGTACATCTAGGATCCCCAACCAGCCCAGCCGAGGCAGCTGGCGAGGGGGTGGGGTTGCTTGTGGCAGGGACCCAGGGGAGGAGACAGGTCCTCACCTGATCTGGAGTCTCTTCCCACAGCCGAGCCCAGACAGCCAGGTGTTCCTCCTGCAGGGGGCCCACCCCTCTCCGTTCTGCTGGCCCCTCCATGAGATTTCCCAGGGCACTCACAACTTCTCAGAAGAGCTGAAGATCGGGGAGGGTGGCTTTGGGTGTGTGTACCGGGCTGTGATGAGGAACACCGTGTACGCTGTGAAGAGGCTGAAGGAGGTGGGTGGAGCATCTCAACAAAGGCCCTGGAGGGCCAGCAACAGACCCACACTTTTCTGGTCCTCCCCCACTGCTTCCCCATGCAGCTCCTTCAGCCCTTTGATTCCCCGGGTCAGGGTCCCCAGTCCCTTGGTTGTTCTGGGCCCAGGACAGATGGCCGTGGGTGTGGCCATCAATCCTTGGCTGTGAGCCGCTCCCCTACCATTTTCCCTGGGGGCTGCAGGAGGCAGACCTGGAGTGGACCACCGTGAAGCAGAGCTTCCTGACCGAAGTAGAGCAGCTGTCACGGTGAGCCTGGGGCATCCTTCCTGGCTGGGGGCAGAGGGAGAGCCACACCAGGGCCCCACTGGCATCCAGGACCACACACCACAGGACCTGGCTCCCTCAGGCCCCCAAAGCCTGCCACACCCAGCCTAGCTGAGGAACCACCAGGGACTGCCCACCCCCACAATGGCCAAATGGAAGGTGTGGTGGAGGCTGGGCGCCAGAGGGCTCAGGCCCCACTTTTTCAAGCAGGTTTCGTCACCCAAACATCGTTGACTTTGCTGGCTACTGTGCTCAGAGTGGCTTCTACTGCCTTGTCTATGGCTTCCTGCCCAACGGCTCCCTGGAAGACCGCCTCCACTTCCAGGTAGCCTTACCTGGCGTGGCACGCTTCCCTGGACCCACAGCACTCTTGGCACCTAGGCGAAGCAGGGCACGGGGACTGGGCTTTCAGCCTGTGTGAGTAGGTCCCACCAACAGGCAGGGCCTGGGCTCAGGGTTTGGCCCAAGTGGGTCACTGTTTTCCCTGGAACTCTTTCCCATGGCCTCTCCCTTGCTGTTCCTGCGTGCCCAAGAGGCAGGGCCATGGTGCCTCTAAAAAGGGGGTTATTGACTCAGAGTAGCCTGACTCCAACAACTTCTCCCCTTTGCAAGCAGAGTAGCTGGAGGCTCTTGTCATCATCGCCTTGGAGAAAAGGGGCCAGTGGGCAGCAGCAACTGGGCCCTGTCTATTGAAGCGTGCACAAGACCCGGGGCAAGAGCGTCCTTGCCCTCGTGTTTAGCGCTCAGGATAAGCACACTGTGTTGGGGGAGGTGGGGAGAAAGCCTCCCATGACATCCTGATCGCCCCGGGACCAATGAATGGACTCCAGGAACTCAGGACTGCCAAATTCTGTGATGGCTCCTGAAAGTACATTCCCTCGGCATGCTTTACAAAGCATCAGAATGGCTCAGTCTCGACCCTCTTATGAAGTAGCTCATGGAGATTTTATTCCTCATTTTCCAGAAGGGGAAACTGAGGCCAAGAGAGTGAAGTGGCTTGTCCAGACCCCATGGTGACAGGTAGAGGGAGGGTTGGGGGTCAAGGAACGGTGGCCCCCCAGCCTCCCCTGTGCCCCTTGCTCCCTCTGCCACTCCAGACCCAGGCCTGCCCCCCTCTCTCCTGGCCTCAGCGACTGGACATCCTTCTGGGCACGGCTCGGGCAATTCAGTTTTTACATCAGGACAGCCCCAGCCTCATCCATGGAGACGTCAAGAGGTGAGGAGGGGCCATAGCCAGGCCCCTGGGGCCCCTGAGAACTGCAGGAGCAGAGTCTACGGCAAGGGGATGATGTTCCCAAACCTTCTGCCGGCAGGGAGCAGAGGCGCCTGTTTGCCAAGGCCTGGTGTCTGGTCCCAAGGAGCCCCGTCCTGAGTGACCCCCATGAGAATAGGCCTACCCTCTCCTGCTCGAGGCTGAGGTGGGGGATATCGGAGCTGGGGGCCCCAGGTCACTGAGTACCTGGCATGGGACAGGTGTAGAAGCAGAGGCCAAAGATGGGCCCCATCAATGAGCAGGGGCTGAACTGTGTGAGAGTGCCCTGGCTACTGCTGGCTCAGAGCCCCCCAGGGAGCTGGAAGCTTGGACAGCGCCAGCCGCCTTCTCTGGGGAAGGTGCAGGTTCGTGGCCCCAGTCCGATTTCATCAGGGCCAGTCAGGTGTTGGGGACAGAGCTAGCCAAGGCCAGGGCCAGGCTGACACCACTCCCTTCCGTCCCCAAGTTCTAATGTCCTTCTGGATGAGAGACTGATGCCCAAACTGGGAGACTTCGGCCTGGCCCGTCTCAGCCGTTTTGCAGTGGCCAACCCCGGCCAGAGCAGCACCGTGGCCCGGACGCGGACTGTGCGTGGCACCCTGGCCTACCTGCCCGAGGAGTATGTCAAGACCGGGAGGCTGGCCGTGGACACCGATACCTTCAGCTTTGGCGTGGTGAGCCGCCGGACCCTCTGCTGGCTTGGGAGAAGCTGCAGCCAGGCAAAGGCGGGAGGGCCTGGAGAATTCCGTGTTTGGGCCAGAGGCCAACCCAGCAGGAAGCTAATGGAGCTGCAGCTCCAGAGCCCCTCCCTCCCTCCCTGGCGCAGGACCCTTTCTTGGCCCTGCACGTTTCACATTTGTCATTACGTGTTCTTTCTTTCTTTCTTTCTTTTTCTTTCTTTCTTTATTTTGTGAGGAAGATCAGCCCTGAGCTAACATCCATGCTAATCCTCCTCTTTTTGCTGAGGAAGACCGGCTCTGAGCTAACATCTATTGCCAATCCTCCTCCTTTTTTTCCCCAAAGCCCCAGTAGATAGTTGTATGTCACAGTTGCACATCTTTCTAGTTGCTGCATGTGGGACACGGCCTCAGCATGGCCGGAGGAGCGGTGCGTCGGTGCGCGCCCAGGATCCGAACCCGGGCCGCCAGTAGCAGAGCGCGCGCACTTACCCACTAAGCCACGGGGCCGGCCCTGTCATTACGTGTTCTTGTTCTTCAAGTGGGCCCTCCAAAGCACCGAAGCTTCAGTCCCACATGTGGCTCTGTGCTTGCTGGGCGGCAGTCCTCATTTACCTATCCAAGGGCTGTGCCCGTCAGCCGTAATCTATGCCTTAGTAGCCTCTTTGGGCTGGGCTGCCCCGTCTGCCCCACAAGCCCCTCTGCACGCTGCCCGCCCCACCAAGGCCTGGGGCAGCACCAGGCCAGAAGCCACTTATACGCTCTGTATCCTGCTCTCTCTCCAGGTAGTGCTGGAGACCCTGGTTGGCCAGAGAGCTGTGAGGATGCATGGTGCCAGGACCAAGTATCTGGTGAGCCTCCTGAGGCAGGGCAGGGAGGGAGAGAGGAAGGGAGAAAGAGAGGGAGGCAGGGAGGCGCTGCTTCTGACAACCAACAGGTGCAGTCCTGGAGGTTGGAATGATCTGGAACACAGCACCCCATAGAAGCCAGCCTGTGCTCCTGCTGACTCATCTTTGAAAGTAGGCAGGGCCCCAAACAGCTTCCTTTACCTTGCCGAGGAGAAACCTGTCTTTCTTCTGCAGATGCCATGGGCCTTTCCAGACCTCACCTGGGCTGGGGGCAGGGGCAGGAGTGTCCCAGCAGGGCAGTCCCAGTGTGCTGGGAGCAGAAGCTGCAGTGGAAAACAGAACATAGAGTCCTGGGAGAGGCTGTGGCAGAGAATCAGGCAGGCTTTGGGAAGCCTTCCCTGGGCCCCACCAGGCAAGCTACAGACGAACGCTCCATGTTGTGGGGGCAGGTCTGAGCGGCTCCCACCCCTTACTCCTTGGTTCCTGTCTGCCTCACCGTGGGCTGAGCCGGGGCCAGGAGACTTGGTGTCTAGTCCCAGCTCGAAGGTGGTATTGGAGCAAATTCCTGCTCCTCGCTGGGCCTGTTTCCCCATATGCAAACAGACTTCAGACACTTGCAGCGCTCAGCCACTTCCTGGGGCCCGAAACGTCCTCTGTCAGTGTTTGCTCTTCACGGTTTACAAACGGGTATACCTCCCGCTGCTTCTGCTCTTGGCTTGGGGCTGTTTCCGTCCATTACCGGGCTTCAGCTGATCTGGGCCAGAACCCGGGAGCCCTCCTTCCTTCACCTTCCCCATCCATCAGCACGTCCTGTTGGCGCCATCTCTAGAGCTGACACCAGCTCGGGCTGCTCTCCATGTGGTCATTGCTGTCCCAGAGCAGCACACCAGACTCCTCAGGAGTCTTTCTTTGGTCTTCTTTGTACCCTTTCTATTTGGTTTTTGTGCCACGGCCGAAGAGATCATGGAAGCCCCTTTGCCTTCCCACTCTGCTTGGGGTGAAGGCCCGATCCGTTAACATGGCCTGACCCCACAACTGCCCAGGTCCCGCCACCACTAGCCTTCACCCTGTCCTCCAGACTGGGCTGGCTCTCTGCTGCCTGCCCCAGGGCCTTTGTAGGAGCCTTTCCCTCTACCTGAAAGGTCACCCCCCACCCAGGTGCTTCCTCCTGGTCCTTCCCATCTCAGAAATCAAGATGGTCTCCAGTCCCATTTCTCCCCGGGGTGCTTCTTCGTGGGGTACTCCTCTTCTTGGCTCTGCCCTCTCCGGCTAGGTCATGCCTTCAGATCCCAGCTCAAGTGCCACTTGCTCAGGCCCTGGTCGAAACCCCGTGGGCCTCTCCGGCGCAGTTCTCCATTGGTTTATAGGCTCATTGGTGTTTCTCCCCACCAGGAAGTCAGCTCTGTGAAGGCGGGCCCAGGGTGTTCTGTTTGTCGTTGTATCCCTACGGCCTGGGGCTGCGCTGGGTATACATTGGGTGCTTAATACATCCGAAGAAAGACCACAGGAGTCAGTGCCAAGGGCCTGGGGAGTGTGGCTTCAGCTCCCCATGGCCATGCTCACAGTATCTGTCCCACAGAAAGACCTGGTTGAAGAAGAGGCCGAGGAGGCTGGAGTGGCCGTGAAAAGCACCCAGACCACACTCCAAGGAGGTCTGGCCACAGACACCTGGGCTGCTCCAATCGCCACCCAGATCTACAAGAAGCACCTGGATCCCAGGCCTGGGCCATGCCCACCCAAGCTGGGTCTGGCCCTGGGCCAGCTGGCTTGCTGCTGCCTGCACCGCCGGGCCAAGAGGAGACCCCTCATGACCCAGGTAGCCCTGTTGTGGGGAAACAGTTGAGACACTGGCTACCTATGGGGGACAGTGGCCTGCTGGGGACTCTGCATTCCTGGCACTGCCCTGTAGTGAGCCACAGTGCCTGCCAGACTTCTTTCTAGAGACAGAGTCTCCAAACATACCTCACTTGCCCTTCGGTTTTGTTTGGGGTGGCCAGAGCTCCACTGAACCCCACCTGATATGTAGAGAAAGGCAAAAGGCTTTTACTGTGCCCCCTTCTGGGTGCACTGCACCACTGCACCTGCCTTTTTCTGTGGCTTCCCTGACCCCCACCTCTTCCCCTCTGACAGTTGAGAATGGAGAAGCCTCGTTTGAGGGCAGCAGGGCAGTGAGATTTGCTTTCTAGAAGACAGAAGCCACTCTCAGTTCTTAGCTTTGGTGGCCGTGACTCAGCACTCCCTGTGACAGGGACAAAGGGGCAAGGGCTAGAGCTTTCTTTTTTCTTTTTTTTTTGTGAGGAAGATCAGCCCTGTGCTAACATCTGCCAATCCTCCTCTTTTTGCTGAAGAAGACTGGCCCTGGACTAACATCCATGCCCATCTTCCTCCATTTTATATGGGACGCCGCCACAGCATGGCTTGACAAGTGGTGCGTCGGTGCGCACCCGGGATCCGAACCAGCGAACCCCGGGCCTCCGCAGCGGAGCACGTGCACTTAACCGCTTGCGCCACCGGGCCGGCCCCAGGGCTAGAGCTTTCCCAGCTGCAGAGTGTTCCGGCTTAGCGGTCCCCGCAGCTCCCAGAGCAGCTGCACAGGGCCTAGGGTGGCAGTCCGAGCCCCGAGGCAGATCACGGATGACCTGGAGCAGCCCTGTGAGGGCTGTAACTGGTCTTTGTGGCTAAGCCCCGCCCACTTGGGAGCTGGGGAGAGCCCCACCTGGGCCACTTGCCCTGACAGCCCCTCTCTACTCGCAGGTGTACGAGAGGCTGGAGAAGCTGCAGGTGGCAGTGACAGGGCTGTCCCTGGAGCCAGAGGCTGCCAGCCGCAGCCCCTCTTCCCCACAGGAGAACTCCTACGTGTCCACCAACAGCAGTGCCCCAAGCGGTGCCAGCCTGAGGCAGCCCCTGGCAGTGCCCTCAGGAGCCCTGGCCCAGGCTACAGAGTGGCTCCAGAAAGGCCCCAACCAGCCCGTGGAGAGTGACGAGAGTGTGTCTGGCCTGTCTGCTGCCCTGCATTCCTGGCACCTGACCCCGAGTTGCCCACCAGGCCCAGCCCTGCCAGGCAGCCCTGGGCAAGGGGCTGCTGCGTGGGCCCCAGCACCCCTCGGACAGGCTGGCTATACTCAAGGGGGCGCTGCCCGAGAGTCAAGCTGGGGGAGCGGCCTGGGTCCCCGGCCTACAGCTGTGGAAGGTAGCTGGGGACAGGTGCCCAGAACAGGGACCAGGGGCCTCCTTTGGCAACAGTCCCCATACTCCCCACCCCCGGCCTTCTGGGAGGAGAGAACTGGGGCCTGCTGTTAAGCTCACTCTATCCTTAGCAAGCTCCAGGCCATGTCTTGGGGCAGGCAACCTGCCCAGCCTTGGAAAGGGGGACAGTCCAGTGCTGTCTCATCTCCCCAGGCTGTGCCCTCTAGGTGGGTGAGAAAAGGCCAGGAGCTCACTTCCTGAAAGCTGGGAACAAGGAAGGCTCTGTCTAGGACCAGGCTCCTGGCATAGCTGGGAGCCAGGGCCACGGTGCAGCCCCTTCCAAGCCCTGTCCTCAGAGAGGGCACTAAGGACTTCTGTCTCGAAGGGGCAGGGAGCTAGGCTGGGGGCCAGGAAGACTTGTAAGGCTGGAGGTGTCAGCAAGGAGTTCCCAGGGACAGTGGCCCCTGCAACTAAGAGGGCGCTCTCTCTACCCCAGGATCACTCCTGGGCAGCTCGGTGTCATCGCCGCCACCGCAGATTGTCATCAACCCAGCCCGACAGAAGATGGTGCAGAAGCTGGCATTGTACGAGGATGGGGTCCTGGACAGCCTGCAGCTGCTTTCGTCAAGCTCCCTCCCAGGTACCCCCGGGACAGGCCCCCACTGGGGCTAGAGACTGCAGGTGACGGGGCTTGGATCCCAGAGGGGCCCTGGCTGCCCAGTGTGCACTCCGCAGCTGGATGGCCGGCCACCGGGGGCGCCCAGGCACGGCTCCTCATGCCAGCTCCAAACAGCAGAGCGTTTGTTCTGATCGTGCATGGACGAGGCCCCTGCTCTCCAAGGGTGTGGCACAGCGCAAAGGCAGTCCACCCCCTCTAACGATGGCTATAGAGGCCCAGCCTGCCCCCGACTCCTCCCTTGGAAAGTTGTATATTCTGGGCCAGGCCCTGTCCTGGCTCCCTCACCTTCTGACAACAGCACCTTCCCTTAGTCTGGGGGAGCCAGCACCGCCCCCCATGCTTCTAACACTGACAAAGCCCCAGCAGGCATTTTCCATTCCAGATGAAGAAGTGCTGCTTAAGAATAGAAACCCCTAGTTCCAGCGAGTGCCCTGGGAGCTGAGGAGGAAGCCTGGCCCAGCCCTTGATCTGGGAGCCCTTAGCCTCCCCCATTTGCTAACCGGCATTTCCTGTTCCTTCTGCAGGCTCGGGCCTAGAACACCAAAACAGGCAGAGGCCCGAAGAGAGTGATGAATTTCAGAGCTGATCCGTTCACTTGAGCAGATCCCCCAAACCCGGAAGTCAAAGTTCTCATGGCTAGAAGTTCTCATGGCGCGTGAACCCTCGGCAGCCAGCGGGCACTGGGGGTGGGGGCCCCATCCTCGCAGGGAGAGCAGGTGGTGGCCCCTGCTGTTCTCGGGGTGTGGGCACAGACGGGGCTCACAGCCACCAGGGCTGGCTGCTAGAATCCGTCAGTACGGCCGGACGTCTCAAAGGCCTGCCTTCAGTCCAGCATTTGGGGGAGAGGAAAGCTGATGTTATGGAGGGCTGTGGGGGCGGGGAGAGCATGTCTAAAGGCTGCTGGCTGCACAGGCCGGGGAGGAGAGGTGAGTGGGGCCGCTGGTACACTGGGACAGAGCAGGGAGCCTGCTCCCCTGAGAGCTGGGCAGGGCGTCTACAGCCCAGGCCTACAACAGCAGCCCTTAGCCCTTCGCTGAAGCCCTGGGGGAAAGTGGCCACTCTAGAACAGAGCAGATGAGGCCTGGGGCCCTCCCAGCTGCTTGTAATTTGGAAAAGTGAGGTGTGGCCGTCCTATGGTTCAGTCCACCAGCTAGAAGTGAGAGTTCTGAGATATGCTAGAGAGCCCAGCAGCGCCCCTCATCAAGCCAGGGGACCTGGGATCTAGCCTAACGTGACCACCTGCTAGCCAGGCCACCACTAGGTGCTACAGCTGGGCAGCAAGCCAGGTCAGGCTCCAGAGGCCACAGGCTCAGGCACTGGTTGTAACCAAGGGGCTACTACCCAAGGTTCGGCTAGGCCCAAGCCCTGTGTTACCCAGACAGTGAGACGCCCCAAGAAGGCAGGAAGTTGGGTACAAGGTAGAGAGGGAAGAAAAAGAAAAAGGGACTCACAATTTTAGAAGCAAGTCAGGTTTCGTGTAACTGAGTGTCTTCGAAGGTAGCCCAGGGCTATAACACTGGCCTGCAATGATTTCGTGTCCACAGTCATTACTCACACTACATGCCCCATGAAGCTAGGCATTGGTGAAGTCCCAGTTGTCCTGGAGTAATAAAAGCTTATGTTTCGATGTCTGGCTGGACCAGTGGAGTTTTTTTTGCACGGAAAGCCTTGAGCTTTTCCAGTGCTTTTCATCTCAGGGTTCTTGACTGTCCAACCCCAAACAGCAGAGCCCCCTCCCCCCCATCCTCTGGAGGCTCTTGTTTCCACTCCCAGTGAGCCACCATACTGCTATCAGAGCGACAGCACTGCTACCCAACAGTACTTTCACAGGCTGTTAAATTTTCCCTATGTGTTTTATGGGTTTTGATGCTATTGTAAATGGTATCTTGATTTCATTTTCTAATTGATCATTGATAGTGTATAGAAATACAACTGAGCTTTGTGTATTGGCTTTGCATTCTGTGACCTTGCTTAAATTCACTTATTAGCCCTAGTAGTTTTTTGGTAAAATACCTTGGGATAGTCTCCATGCACAATCATTTCATCTGCAAATAAAGACAGTTTTATGGCTTCCTTTCTAATCTGTATACCTTTCAGTTCTTTTTCTTGCCTTCTTGCACTCGCTAGGGCCTCTGTAGAGTCGAATGTTGAATAGAAGTGAAACTGGACATCCTTGCTTTGTTCTCAATCTTAGGTGCAAAGTGTTGTCTTTTACCACTAAGTGTGATGCTAGCTATAGGATTGTCATAGATGTATTTTGTCAATGTAGTGAACCACATCAATTGATTTTCAAATATTAAACCAACTTGGCATTCCTTAGGTAAAAACAGCGCTTGGTCATAATGTGTTATCCTTTTCTATATTGCTGAATTCCATTTGCTAATATCTCTTGAGAATTTTTGCATCTATGTTCATGAGGGATATTGATCTGCAGTTTTCTGGTAATATCTTTATCTGGTTTTGGTATCAGGGCCTCATAAAATAAGTTGGAAAGTATTCCCTTCTCCTCTTATGTTTTTACAGGTCCCGTGTGTGCTTGGTGTTACTTCTTTAAATGTTTAATGGATTTACCAGTGAAGCCATCTGCACCTGGAGTTTTCTTTGTAGGCAGGTTTTTAATTACAAATTCAATTTCTTTAATTAGATATCAGGCCATTCAGATTTTCTGTTTCTTCATGTGTCAGTTTTAGTAATTTGTGTCTTTCAAGGAATTTGCCCATTTTGTCTAAGTTGGCATAAAGTTAATAATACCCCCTTACCATCCTTTTACATCTGTAGGATCTGTAGTGATGTCCCCTCTTTCATTCCTGATAGTAGTCATTTGTGTCCTTCCTTTTTTATCTTGATCAGCCTAGAGACTTATCAATTTTACTGATCATTTCAAAGAGCCAAGTTTTGGTTTCATTGATTTTCTCCATTGTTTGCCCATTTTCTAGTTTATTGATTTCCACTCTTTATCATTTCCTTTCTTTTTTTTTCTTTTTTTAAGGAAGATTGGCCCTGCGCTAACATCTGTCACCAATCTTCCTCTTTTTTTTTTCTCCCCAAAGCCCCAGTGCCTAGTTGTATATCATAGTTGTAGAGTTGTAGCTCTTCTATGTGGGACGCCACCTCAGCATGACCCAATAAGCGGTGAGCGGGTCCACACCCAGGATCTGAACCGGTGAATCCCGGGCCACTGAAGCAGAACACGTGAACTTAACCACTATGTCACTGGGCCAGTCCCCTATCATTTCCTTTCTTTTACTTACTTTGGAGTATTAAAACTTATTTTGGGTTAATTTGTTCATCTTTTTCCAGATTCTTCAAGTGTGACCTTAAATCGTTATTTTAAACCTTGCTTTTTCTAAGATAAGCATTTAAAGCTATCAGTTTCCTTTGAGAACAGCTTTAGCTACATTCTACTCATTTGGATATGTTCTGTTTTCATTTTCATTCAATTCATAATGTTTCCAATTTCCCTTGTGATTATTTCTTTAACCAGTGACTTACTTAGAAGTGTTCACATCTTCAGTATCCTTGCTACTTTTCTGTCTACCACTTCTCTCTGGCAGACTGAGAGAAAATATTGCAGTCTCCAACTGTAATTGTAGATTTGTCTTTCGGTTCTGTCAGATTTTGCTGCATCCATTTTGAAGCTCTCCTTGGGTGCATACACATTTAGGATTGTTATGTGTTCTTGATAAATTGAACCTTTTGTTATCATGAAATGCCCCTCTTTATCTCTAGTAATATTCCTTCTTTTGATGTCCGCTTTGTCTGGTATGAAGATAGCCACTCCAACTTCCTTATGCTTAGTTTGTTTCATGGTAGAACTTTTTCTGTTCTTTTCTTTTAGCTTATCGGTGTGTTTATATTTAAAGTGCACTTATAGACAGCATATGGTTTGGTCTTACTTTTTTAACCAGTCTGATCATCTCTGCTTTTTAATTGGTCTGTTTAATCCATTTACATTTAATGGTTGGGCTATTTGTTTTCTGTTGTCCCATCTGTTCTTTGTTCCTTTTTTCCTCTGTTCCTGACTTCTTTGGGATTAATCAAATGTTTCTGGTATTCTATTTTTTCTCCACTATTGGCTTGTTAGCTCTAATAACTGTGACCACTGGTTCTGTTCAGGAGCCCCCTTCTTGCACCATGATCTGGAAAGTGCCTCATAGGCACAAAGGCAGAAATCCAGGCTGCTTGTAGGGGTCACCACATTTGTTTTCCTTCTGATCACAGTCCTGCACTGCCTCTTGTCCAATATCAAAATAATTGTTTCAAATATTTTGCCTAGTTTTCTAGTTCTTTACATGCAGAGGGCTATCCTGGTATTAGTTATTCCATCATCGCCAGAATCACAAGTTTCCCTTCTTTTCTGAGGAATTCTTCACTCCTAAGGGCACCTATCTTTCTCCTGCATGATCAGTTTCTTCCTTGCTCCTGGATCTATCTTCATCAAATATGTCCTAGTAGCTTCCATCCTTAAAGAACTCCTTGGACCAACACCTCTCTCCAATCACAACCCCGATGCTCTATTCCTCTTTAGAGCTAAACTTCTCAAAGTAATTGTCTATTTTCTCACTTCTTCCCATTGCCTCTTCAACTCCTTCTAAGCTGGCTCCTACCCCACCACTCTACCAAGTGGTGTCAAGGACACCAATGATCATGTTGCTGAATCCAGTGGCCACTTTCTGACTTCATCTTGTGGGTTCTTGGTGCCCACACCCCCTCCCACTGTCCTCTCCTGGCGACCTCTGCTACACTGTCCTCTCTGTCTCCTCTACCCAGTCTCTACAAGGAGCAAGACCCTCACGGTGGACCCCGGGCCCTCTTCGCTACCTCCACTCAACTCCTGTGGTGACCTCACTGATTCTCATGGCTCTAACCATGATCTGTTGATCAAATGACATCGCCAAAAATGAACTCTCCTCTGAGCTTTTCACCCACACTTCCAACTGCCTACCGGACATATCTCTTTGATGTCTCACGGACACTGTCAGCTTATGTGACAAAATGGACCTTTGGATTCCCAGTCGCCACAAGCTTCCCATCTCAGTGTGTGGCACTACCACCATACCACAGCTGCCCAAGCCAGACCCTCAGAAGTTAGGCTTTCTTTTTTTGTGTGTGTGTGTGATGCAGATTAGCCCTGAGCTAACATCCATTGCCAATCCTCCTCTTTTTGCTGAGGAAGACTGGCCCTGGGCTAACATCTGTGCCCATCTTCCTCTACTTTATATGGGACGCCACCACAGCATTGCTTGACAAGTGGTGCCTTGGTCCGCGCCCGGGATCTGAACCTGTGAACCCTGGGCCACCGAAGCGGAGCACACGAACTTAACCGCTACACCACTGGGCCGGCTTGGAAGTTAGGCTTTCTTAATGGACTTTGTTGGGGGGTATAACTTAAAGGCAGAAAAGTACACAAACTGTACGTGTACAGCTCAATGACCATATGGGTGTATACAGCCATGTGATAGCCACCTCTTAGACCGAGACATAAGTCTGCTCCAGTTATCTGTTGCTCGGTGCCAAACCACCCCGAAATTTAGGGGCTGACATGGTGACCACATGTCTTTCGCCCGTGAACCTGCAATCTGGGCAGGGCTCAGACAGGACAGGAGCTCACTGCTCCACTTGGAGGCGGCTGGGCTGGCCAAAAGGCTGGGAGCTGGAACCATCTGGAGCTCCCGCACATGTCTGGCAGTTGATACTGGCTGTCAACTGAGGACTCTGCCAGGGCTAGGACACCTAAACATACCTCTTCCTTGTGGCCCTGTGGCTTCTTCCCAGCATGGGGGCTGGCTTCTTCCCAGCATGGGGGCTGGCTTCTAAGGGTGAGTGTCTAGACAGCAAGCCTGGTGGAGCTGTGTCGCCTTTGATGGCCTGGCTTCTGTTGCACCCTCCTCAAGTCACTAAGGCCAGGCCGTACTCAAGGGGAAAGGAGTTACAGTCCAGCTTTGGATGGGAGGAGTGCCAAAGAATTCGTGGACGTCTTTAAAACCAGCACAAGGGCATTTCTGTCATCCTGGAAAGGTCCCTCACACAAGAGAAGCACTATCCTGTCTTCCACCACATAGATTCGTTTTGTGTGTTCTTTTTTTTTTTTTTGTGAGGGAGATCAGCCCTGAGCTAACATCCGTGCTAATCCTCCTCATTTTGCTGAGGAAGACTGGCTCTGAGCTAACATCTACTGCCAATTCTCCTCCTTTTTTTCCTTACCCAAAGCCCCACTAGATAGTTGTATGTCATAGTTGGACATCCTTCTAGTTGCTGTATGTGGGACATGGCCTCAGCATGGCCGGAGAAGCGGTGCATCGGTGCGCACCCGGGATCCGAACCCTGGGCCGCCAGTAGCGGAGCACGCGCACTTAACCGCTAAGCCACCGGGCCAGCCCTGCGTGTTCTTGAACTTTACGTAAATGGCATCGTTTTGAAGGACGGCCATGTTGTTGCAAGTAGCAGTATCTTGTTGGGTTCCCCCCCCATGTAGTGCTCTCTCATGAACATGCAGTGTTTTGTCCCTTCTACCCTGAGGGCTGGCTGGGCTGTCGTCAGTTTGGGGCTGGTATGAAGAAAGCTGCTGTGAACATTTTAGTGCCGATCTTGGCGCTGTATGCCGTCATTTCCCTCAGGTGTTGTCTC